CGCCCTCGACATTTTCTTTACATCCCGTGAAGGGTAGTTTCCAGTGGGAAGGCACTCGGCATCGCTGGAGTTGGGATATTTTTGTCCGCGGAGATTTTGAGCTTGTGACTGTGTTTGCTGTCACACGCAGGCTTTGGCCCGGCCCGTGCCCCCCGCCCCAGGTCGCGGTGGGAGGGGCGGGGTACGGGAAGGAGGGAGTTTGCTTCCCCGTTTTTGTTGCTTAGTTTTTTTTGTTCGTTAGCTGGACTTCATGCCCCTGCCACTCCGCCAGTGTTTCTAAGCCTTCCTGCCAGGGTCTGTTTTGGAAACTTCGGAATTCCGTGTACGTCCCAGCTCCCCGTTTAACGGGTCCTGTGGAGGAAAAGGTATTATCATCATCTGACAGAATCCCTACACTCCCAAGTAAATCAAGGGTCCCCTGTGGGAGGGGATGGAAGCCCAGGAACGTCCCCCGGAACAACCCTGGTCTTTGCCACGAGACAATCGTAGCACCTTGACCGCTTGGGACATTCCCTCCAGTTCAGACTGCAGACATTCCTGCAAACTGTTCGAGTCATCTCCACCCCAAAGGGGCTGTAGTACAGTCTCTCATTTGGGAGAAGAGGAGAGAAGGGAGAGATTCTGAGTCGTAGGGTACATGACAAAAGCCCCCAGGAAAGTCATACACCTCGAAGAAGGTTGTCAGCTCCCTGTGCCCGCCACTGCCTCCTGATTCTGTTCCCGGGGAGCGGGGAACGCGCACTGTGGCTTCTGGTGGGAAACACGGTGGATCCCAAAATGCCCGGCCAAGGGAAAGCCAAGTGACCTGCGCCAGGCCCATGTGGCCAGCCCGAGCCCGGACAGAAAGGACTCCAGGAGGGCGTTGTCTTTATTTCTAGTGCCCCCTGAGTCTTTTCCCTGGGTTCTGGCCTCCTGTGTCACCTCACCAGGCATGCCGCGTCTCTGCGGGGAGTTGCTATCTTCCGTCCTGGTTTCAGAAGCCACAGGTGCAGCTCCCAGGTTGGGGCTCACCACCATCCACTCTGTATAGGCAGGGGGCACCCCTGCGGCCTCTCTGGACCAGTGCTTCAGGCCTGGGGACACGGGTGGGAGGAGAGGGGCCTCTGTGGAAGGCTGCCGGGCCTCCATGCCTCCGCTCGGGGTTGAGCACGTTGCCCCGGGCACTGTTCACCGTTTCCAGTGACTCTCCATGCTCCGGGAAGCCTCGCTGACCCCGCAGCCCCGGGCTGCCCAGCCAGTGGGGACTCAGGGAACCGGGGAGTGGCTGGGGGCCTTGGGTACAGAGGGAGTACTGCTGAAGGGGACAGATCGTCATGCTGAAAGTGGGAGGGCTCCTCCGGCGGCTCATTCCCGTGTCTGCTGTCTTCTCTTCCTCCCCGGGGCCATTCCCTAACGGGGTCTCTACCCATCTCCGCCTCTAAGGCAGGGAGTCTTTCCTGAGTCGCTCCCCAGTGGAGACTTCTCAAGCTTAGAGGGGACCTTTGTGGATTCTCCTCCTCCCGCTTTTATGAACTGAGTCCCAGCCTCCTCCCACCTCTCATTTCTCGGCACCCCCCTGCTTCCCAACCACCTGCCCCTCCTTCCTGCCTGGGGGAAGAACTCCCTCCCCACCCAGTGAGCGAGCGTTCTTGGGAACATCCTGTGTGCTGTGATCGAGCTGGGGGGATTCAGGCCTCGGGCACCAGCGGATTGCGTATCAGAGCGCTGTGTGGGGTCTGCACTGCTGTCTTGTCTACCACCCCACAAGCCCACACGGGATTATAACAGACCCCACCTGCTTGGACTCCGGTGGGGGGACCCACAAGCATCACCTCCCGGATCTGCCCTTGATCCTTTCCAAGCAGGGCCGGCCCACTGATCTGAGGTGGACAGGAGAACCCACCCCCCCGCCGGGGAGGTGATACTGGAGTTTGAAGGAGGTAATGGGCTTAGGGTGGGGTACCCCAGGAAGGGAAAGGTGCTCTGCAGCTTATGATAGGACAGAGTCCTCGGATCTCCTGCTTCATCCTCACATGTTGGGAAATATGTTTGCTTTGATGAAATTCAGATATTCTGGTGGCGGGGGGTAAAATTTGGGAGATGGTTATTGCTCACGTGGAGTCACTCTTTCCCAGAGACGTCACGATGACTGAATTATATTCTGAAGTATGCAGCCGCACACGGGCAGCCTTGTCTCCGCAGGAGCGGATTCCGCCTCTTGAGCAAACAGTGTGCATTTTCAAGGTTAAAGTTGGGGAGCTCTGCAAAGCTGTTTCATTAGCCAAAACACCCATTTGTGCGCCCAGCCACTGGCTGGCTTTCTGACGAGTTGATCGCTCGCGCTTGTTGTGGAATTGTCCAGACACACCCATCCAATCGTAACCCGCTGCTCACAAGGTTAAGTTTACTTTTTGAACTTCTCTTGTTGTCAAATTAATATAATATGCTCTCAATTATCCACATAAAAGGAGAAAGGCAACCAAGCAGGGAAAGTAAATTTGCAATTAATTTCCTAAATTATTGCTCTTTTTATATGATGGACAAGTCGCTTTTCTCTGACTTGGACTCAGGTGTTCTGTGGGTCCTGGGGGGGAGTGCCGGGGCAGGCCCCGAGAACAGGCTACTCCGAGGTGTTCTCCACACCTGGGGCAGGGCTGGAGGCAGATGTTTTGTGGGCAGGGTTTGGAGTAGGGGTTTGGAGTATGTTGGGCTCTTGTCAAGGAGAGAGTCCATTCATCTTCTCGGTCTTCCAAGATCCCATTGGTGACCTAGTTGGCCCTAAGATAAGAATGTGGGTGGAGGTAGTGTATGTGGGAGGAGCTCCCAGGAACCATGGGTGAGGGAGCCACGAGGGAGGGGAGGAAACCGCTCTGGTTGTATTAACTGCTCGGGCACTGGGTGCAGTCCTTCCGGCGATCCTCTAGGATTCCGTGTGGAGCTCATCTCAGAATTGCCCCACAGAGGGCGCCTGGGTGGCTCAGTAGTTAAGCTTCTGCCTTGGGCTCAGGTCATAATCTGGGGTCCTGGGATCGAGCCCCGCATCGGGCTCCCTGCTCTGCGGGAAGCCTGCTTCTCTCTCTCTCCCACTCCCCCTGCTTGTG